AGGCAGGAGTGAATGAGGATTGATGTGTAAAGGGTTGGAAAGAGTGTTTGGAATCATGGAGAAGTTTGGAGCACAGCATCACATTTAGTGGACAGGATGCATATAGAACCTTGTGCAGTAGGCTTTCTTATAAATTATCTCATTTGGTTTATCAGATTAAAAACAACAACTAGTAGTAATTTGTTAGGTGGTGGATCATGTGCAGAACCAAGGGTATAGCCAAGAGAAGAGAATTAGTAAATTGGACAGGAAGTTAATCTCTACCTGAATTTTGAATGTGTCATATATTTCAGTTGTTGACTATAAAATTCTAATTTTCAATATTCTAAGTTTCAATATTTAAGCCTTATCCCTGGCAACATCTTGCTTTCATTATAGAAGCTTTGTATATATGCCTCAGATTTTTAACATAAACTATTCATCAGAGGTTGACTTTTATTAGGAAAGTGGCATGCAAGGGACTGTCACTCACAATATACATTTTTAAGATGGAAAGGTCTGTTTTGCTCAGATTTAATTTTTGACTCCCAGTAGGCACTGGGAGACTAAAGTAATTTATCTCTCAACTTGCTAGGGGATGTTTTAAATTTCAGTAAGCAGTGGTATTATATTAGCCTGAACCATTTGGGTAAATTTGTTTAAAGGAGAAAATAAATAACTAAACTACTCTGTTAAAACTCAGAAACAAAACCATTTGTTCTTGTCATCTGGTGGTGCTTAAATTATGAAAAATAGATCTCCAAAGGTTTAACTAATCCATGAATCTAGTTTGAGGCTGTTTCTGGCTTTATTCTATCATCCTGCACATAAGGCGCTGAAAGACACTGAAAACCTCTGTGTTGGAGTGTGAAATACCTTCCAAGATGATGTTGTTTTAATAATTTTCATTAAACCATTTAGGCAGAAGGATAACAGAGGAACGAAATGACTTGATGCTATCATTTGTGCCTACAGTAATTCATTTATGTGCCATAGCTTTAATTAAAGTATTAAATGATACTGGTGAAACTTTATAGTTTCTGGAGTAGGACTGAAGGAATTTTGAGTGATAGTTACGGTGAAGTGACTAAGAAACACGTGCTCAAACTGATTTTCGGGGAGGGAATGTCTCGACTGTCTGAAATTCTTAATTTTCACCTTAATTTTCTATTTTGATACTAGAAAACTTTTGGTGTTAGTGGTCCTGCCATCTAACCATAATAAGAGATATTTTTCATATATAGCAGGTCAGAGTTACTGGCTCAGCTGTGTCAACTTTTTGTCACAGATGAGTTGGATGGTGAGAACTTGTTCCTGATCATCATACTGTAGATATTATTCATCTTTGTTTCTCCAACCCATTGCACAGAGAAGGTTGCCAAAATAATTGTTGAATGAGTGGGATGAGGCTCCCTCTGTTGATTGTGAGACCCCCAAATCTTCCTATGCAAAGTTTGAGTGAGATGGAGGCAGGGGACTGGGTCAAAGAAGGAATTCATCTGAGGCTTTTCCCTTTTCTCCTTTAATTCCACCCCCTCAAGACATTTAACTGCTTTTGCAAAATTTCTTCTCCTAATTTTCTTTTACCAGAGTTTGTTTTAACCCAAACCCTTATTTATAAAAACATAACATAGAATTCAGTTGATTCGATGTGAACTTTCCTTTATTCCTGAGAATTGTCCCATATCCCAATCCTGTTAAGATTGGTTCTGGATATATTTTGGGGATTCAGTGGTTTGAATCACTCTAGTGAAGACTGATTTAGTTTAACATATCTGTACATATCTTAATATATATTTTTATATAGCAGAGAAGATAGCTAAACATGAATGTGATATGAAAGAGAATTACTGCTTCACCAAATTATGATTTTTCTCAAACTTAAACTTAAAATCATTTTTGAGCCGAATGATCATGCAACTTTCTAAGCAAATGTTACAAACAAATCATTGAGATTTTCTACAAGGAAACATGATAAATTGAGACTGGAAAAATATTAGTATATGTTTATATGAATTCTCTGAGTGGCATTTATTGTAATACCTTATCTCCATAGAGGAGAACTGGTTTGACAGAGTAAATGCAAAGTTATAGTTTCTCCAAAACTATAATCAGGAGATGCCCTATATGAATTTGTTCTTATTAATATTGATCAACTGAGTTTTTATCTTAGGAAAAATAAGGGAATAATGAAATGTGCATGTTATTGATAAAAAGATTGGGGTTTGAGAAGTAAGATGTGTCTATAATAAGTGAAGTAAAAAAGAAATGTTATTAAGCCAAAAGCAATACCACATTTATTGGTGGGGAACAAATTTAGTTGTATGGCTGTGTACATAATCAGTCGCATATTCCACTAAGGTCTGTGCTGTCTTCTTAAAATGTGACAACCTGTCTAAGCATGCATATTTGATTAAGTGCTTCATTATTTTGTTGTTTTTATAAAGTCACATTTTTATTCTTTTCTGCATTTGTATTTTGACTCTGTTAGAAATGAGCATTGTATTGAGAAAGAGCTCTTTAAAATAGAGATATATAATACCCATTTACAAGGAGTATATGTGTTTGACATGCAATATAACATTATGATTACTGTATTTTTTCCTTTGATTTGCTTAAATAAAATTAGTTTTTAAAATTATGTCATCTGAAACTCAGAAAGCCTTGTGTAAATGCATAAAACTTAAACTGTCGAAAAAACATTTTCAATAACAGATTTAGAAGCAATACAGAGGTTCTGAAAGAAGAGCTAAGTAAAAGTTTTGTGTAAAATATAGTTCAGTTAAAAAGAAAAACATTTGAAAATTCTCAAATAAACTTAGATATTCTTTTATTTTTAATTATTTTAATTTTATTTCATGCACAGATTATCTCATCAGGATCAAAATGCTTAGTTTGAGTTAATACTAGCATTTCTTTATCATACATATGGTACCATATGTGATACCCTTAATCACAGGTTTAATAAATACCTAAGACAATTTATTTATGTGTGACCATGTATCACACATAGGAAAAAAATTGACTAATCAATTTAGTCCATTAGCTCTAGTACTATGGATCAAGTGTAATGCTATACACATAGGTTGTTTTATATAATTGATCTGTACCCAGTATTTTGCCTAAAGGGTAGGAGTACATATATTTAACTTATTTTGTATCTTTCTTGGCACAACAGTATATGCATATAGGTATTCAATGAATATCTGTTGAAAATAATGATGCTGAGCTGCTTGAATTTTAACAAGCTTCACCTTGTTTTCTACATATTACAATTCTGTAAATATAAGCAAATAGATGGTAGAAAATAAGGTCTAAAATGAAGATAAACTTCTTCAGTGTTTTAACTTTTGCTGGAATCCACATTCTAAATTGAAAATTGTCTCCTAAGTATAAATTACAGAGTTGCAAGTGGGATCAATAAACTAGTAATTAGGTTTGGGTCTCAGGTGGATTTAGAAGATTCTCTTGTTTTGTGTATGTGATGAGTTCTGATTTTGTATTTTAACTGTTGCAAAACTGATGCTATAAAAGTTTCAGGAATTAGAACTTTTATGCATATCAAAATTCTCTAGCTACTTAAATAATTCTTTAAAAAAATCAACTGTGATAATTTTAAAAGTTCTATTAATTGTAAATGAAATGAGTTCAAACTCATGGGTTTCATTCAGCACTGCGAATCATATGTTGTGATATTTACATAGTTTTTGCTTTGTTTGGTCTTCATAAAGAACTGTATTTTATAGATCTTCAGTCTTATGGTATGTTTTCTCAAAAATAAAAATTAAAAGAAGTGGCGGGGAGAAAGATTTCTGTGGCAAATAAATTAGGAAGCCAGACAAGATTTATTTTCCTCTAGGGGACTTATAATGTACAATCGTACACTGTGGCTCTGTGAAGTCCTGCCAAAAAGAAACAGTTTCAACTTTGTTTATTGTTTTCTAGAGTTATATGAGCATGAGATCTTTTTCCTGTATAATGTCTATTAATATCTTGAAGAACTAGTGATTTTTTTAATACACTTTGAGAAGCACTAATTTAGTGAATTTTTCCCAAGTAATTATCTTTTTCTAAAAAGATTTTGTGTATTATGTGTTTGCATTTAATAAAATTTTCGAATGTCTATGTTTGTGGATGTTTAAGAGGCACAGAAAAATGCATCTTCACATCATTCTCAATTTACTGCTATTATCATTTGGAAGGTGGACTATATCTTCAGTCAATTCATGAGGAGATGAAAGAGAAATCAGTATAAGTGGAATATTTTTACATTGTACAGAATAAGCCTCAGAGACACAAAGAATAGGAATTTCAAATTCCTTGACAGTAATTTTCATCATTTCTTTTCTATTTTCCCTCTTTAACACACTTTGTATCCCTTATTTACACGTATGGTACAGTTCAGCAACACTAATGGCTAGCAGAATTGTCTGTATATATTTATTCCTGCTAAAGAGCCAGTGCTAGTTCACCACTTAGCTAGAATATGAGGATATTAATGTGTTAGATAATCTGGTGTTTTTTTGCTACCTGAATTCCTAACAGTTTTTGATCTTTTATCTGAATCTCATGAGGAAATTTCTGCTGATGTTGTGTAGATACACATTTCTTCAAGAATCATTTCAACACTGTATAAATGTGTGTGTATTAATCATGGCTTTAATAAAGTGCTAAGAAGACACTTAAATTACATGCTTCTTGAATTATCCTGTTATTATTTAATGTGTGCATATGTGTGTGTATAACTTTTCTGACTTAAGAATTTTTCACTTTTTTTTCTTGACAAATGTTTCTAAAACCTACACCGAGATATTTTTCCTAGTGCAAGATGTGCTTTTCTAATACCACTGATAAACTGTTGTAATATGTTCTAAGAAAAAATATAGGTGAATCTTTGTGGAATATACTGTGAAAGAAATATTATGGGAGTTTATTATTTAAAATATGCATTAAATGTACTCTGTTTGATATGATGTTTTCTGTTTTTATTCAAATCAATAAAACTCTCTCTTTTTTTGTAGAGCAATGAAGTTGTCTACTACAATGCAAAGGATGATCTTGATGTGAGTATTAAAAGTTTTACTTTAAATTCCAAGAGAAACTTAGTTATAATGGATGATTGGTTTTATAGAACAAATTGGAGTTAGCAGGTATAGTTAAGAAAATGTTAGATAGCAGAAGCAAAATACTAGCTAGACACACAAGACAATGATGAATTTTAGTGCTTATGTGATTTTTAATAACTTACTTTTGGCATGTTTGTAAGTAGAAATGCCATGTTTCTCTGGATCTAAACTCCCACTGTACCCTATCCAACTTCAATCCACGGTACTGACTTAGACACTCTAGACTCCATTAGCAAGTTTGAAGAGAGAGGTCAGATCCCATCCATCTTGGTATCTTGGCTCCTATCACCTGGGTCACCATGCACATCTGCTCTGGCTTAAACTGCACACACCAGGGAGAACCATTTACTTCAACTACAGTGTGAATGGTACCCAAGAAATTGTGCAGCAACTGGCCCTGCCTGTCAATCTGAAATGTAATAGTTGCTTAATATGCCTCTTTAAATTAATGACTCTAATGTGCATATTAAAATGATTTAAGAACATGGGATATTTTAGCACTAATGAATTACTAATAACTTCTGCCACATTTGGATAGACATTGAGGAGCCATTTTAATTACTTCATTATGGTGGAAACATTTTCAAAATTATAAAATAAAGGTTACAGTTAATTTTGAAAATTCTCATTTTTGACTATTTGCATCAGAAAAAATATCTAGATACACTTAAATATTTACATAAAATATTTGTTGAGGGACCACCTATATTTTAGGTATTCTAAGAACTTGGGGTCTATCAGTGAATGAAGCAAATATAATAAAATTATTATATATCATCCATATATCTTTTATATGAATATAAAATATCATATTCCTACACTGTGGTATAGAATTACTTCCAGTAATTTAGAAGTGGAATGTGAAAAAAAATACATAAAACAAGTAGAGCTGGTCTTCAAAACAAACAAATAAATATAGTTCTGTGAAATGTCACAGCCTCCCAAGTTACACCACTACCATACTGAAAACCATAGTTTATTGAGCATTAAATTTGCCTGCATACTGCTAACCACTTTATACAAATTATTTTCCTTAGCTCCTACAATAACACTAAATATGAAGGAGGTTTTATTTTCTCCAATTCATAGATGGAGAACTAAGATTGTTTTAAAAAGTATTTTCTTTCCTCTAGACACGGGTGTTTTGTTTGGGATATCTTTCCTCTTATACTGAGTATATATGTCATTTTAATGATGTGAGAGGCTTTTTAAGGACAAACTGTCCACTGACACAAACTATTTTAATGGTTTATTGATTGGAATCAGAATAAACATCAATTTTGGAGGGATGTTCTGTTTCACCATTTGATATTTAAAAAGTATATGGTTATTTAAAAATGTATGCAAAATATTCATCAATCTTCCTCAGGGTACATAAATGGCAACTTTTATTATACACTTGATTTGTAAAACTAAGGCAAAGATTTTATAATAAAGTAGATAGACTGACATGCAATTCTCCAATTAAGTGTTGCCTAAAGATGATGATACCGATACTGCAAATGCATTGTTTTTTCTCTAAACTAATAAGTTACAATTTTTATGTCAAATAAGTTTTATTTACTTAGGTTTGCTTATTAATTAGTAAGTTTTTTTTTATTTTACACCAAAATTGGCCATTTTTTTTTGTTGTTCAAGATTTTAACAACCATATGCATACATGTAAATGTGACTTTTTAGTAAGTACCACAACTTTCAATAACAATGCTTCAAAGTATATGCACCCATTACAAGTGGAAAAGTGCACACAGGCTATTTGTAATACTTGAGCTGTGTTCATTATTTTCTTATATAGTTTGTCTACATATTCAAATAAAACTCTCTGAGAGAAAGAAAACAGAATTTGTGTAGGTGAACTTACTAAACCTGCCTCGCTTTTTGCCTTTTGCCATCCCAAAAAATGTATACTGTGGGTTATAACTATGCCTATAAATAGGATTCAGTCTCTTTTAGGACATGAGGTGAACTTTTGCAAATTAAATCAAAATCCTATAAATAGCAAAATATCAACATTTCAATTAAAACTTAAAAATGATCAGTATTTGTAGAAATTTCCATTTCTTTATATATAAATAATAACAGTGCCAGAATAATTTTCAGAGTGTTCTGTAGTGGAAAAAGAACAAGAATAGAAATCAGACTAATTCATGCCCCAGTCTAGTCCTAAAATTATGGTCTCCCACAGGGCATTAAAACCTGGTAAAATTCAAACTGTTATTCTCTCATATAAGACATGATACAGTTGAATGGGTGGATCATAAAGTTCATTTTAGTTCTGAATATTCTTGGATTCTAGTGAAAATATGTACTTTTGTATAAAGAATATACTTACATGTATAAAGAATATGACTCCATTATAGAATAGTCAAAAGGAGGAAAAAAGGTATCCATTACCATGTTACCCTACTGTAGATATATTATCATTTTGTTACATTTCCAAGGGTTTCTCATTAACATGTATGTTTACTTATTTCCATGATTCTTCAAGTGAGCAAGTTATTAAATGTCATAATCATTTCCTATCTGTGAGACAGTTGTTGTATCACTGTTGTGAGTCAATATAGCATGATTCAATGCCTGAGAATTGTTAAAGGAAAAACTTTAATTAAATTTAGCAGAGTTTATCTGAGCAAAGAATGATTCATGAATTGGACAGCACTTGGAACTAGGAGAGCTTCAGAGAGTTTCACCCAGCAGTTTGGGTAGGCAATATTTATAGACAGAAAAAGGAAGTGATGTACAGAAACAGCTTGATTGGTTACAGCTGGACATTTGCCTTAGTTGAGTATGGTGTGTGATAAGGCATTCACCTTATGTAGACACGGTCTGGTCGGGTGGCATCCTGCGTTTGGCTGAAGCTCAGCTGCTGTGATTAGTTGAGACTCAGCTTTTTGTCACAAGAATATACTCTTAAGTTAGGTCGCAGTTTGTATATAAGTACTCGAAGTATGGAGGCAACTTAGATCAAATTTAATTTAACAGAGCTAAATAAGATTTCTATTTTAAATGTTATGCCTCCTGGAGGATACTAAAAGATTATAAATCCTGAGCCTCAGGTTATTATTTTTAATTTTTTCTGCAGTTCTACATTAGCAGGAGATAATTTGTTTTTCCATTCTTACAACTAGTAGGATAGTGATTATTTTCTCTATTTTCCAATACTCCTGTATCATTTCCTTTTCCTCTCTAAGACAATCATCTGAGTTTAGTCATTGGTCTTAAGTATTCAAGAGCTATTGAAATGATATCATATTTTATGCTTCTAAATTTTATATATACCTTTACTCATATGATACCTTATTAATATATAAATATTTCTAGACATTATATTCACAAATCATTTTCCAGATCTTCAAGTCACTTATTATTGACTTTGTTTGGTGTTTAAGACCCTGCAGAAGCTTTACCAGAATGTTTCCTAGGAAGACATAATTTGTGGCAATGAAATGACAATTTCCCCTTCTTGAAGGCACAACCAGTATTTACAAATTATTCCCTTGGGGTAACTTCCTACAGTATAAGTTACCAGAGGGCAACTCTTGTGTACTTACAGCCATTGACATAGCTCTTATAATATCTAGCACATTGTAATCATGCAGTAAAAGTATCTTTCCTACTAAATAAACAAATCTAAAATAAAAGTGAAGATTCATTTTACACAACTGCGAAATCGCTTAAGAACAATGGTATCATAATTACATTCCAGGCATACTTTCCCATTTCTGTTCTTTATACTTTGTTTCATTTTTTAAAAGGCCCTTTCACCCCACCCCCAACCTCAGCCAGACTTGTGTGGGTCTCTGTAATCTGGAGGATTGGTGTTGAAATATATACCCTGAAGAAAACATTTGCTGTTAGTGTTGATCAGAAACTGTACCATATGTTTTGTAGCATCCTCTGCCCTCTAGTTACAAATATGACAGTAGCAAGGACAATGCTTAAAAGAAATCTGAATCCTGTGACAATTTCCCAATCCTGAAACTAGATAGATTTTTCTTCATTTAAAACTAATATAATAGAAAATAGTCAATTGAAGGAATCCGTGAAAAATTCAGTAATAATAAAGTAGAAATATCATAGTATATTTTCCTCCAAGATACTGTTACTTCAGGTAAAAAGAAAAACATTAGATATATACTTAGTGTCCCCAATGAAAGACCCAGTAATCTATAAAAAGTAGACTACAATAAAATCATCAAAACAAAAACTGCTATAATCAAATTCCCATTGGAAGAACTAACAAATTGGACAATGCAAGTTATTCATCAGTGATGCTCAGAAATACTCCCTGAATGCCAAAAAAGAAAGATAGGAACAAAGATAATAAATATGAAGGTCCAAATTCAGAGCTATATTCATAAATCATGTATTCCCAAAGATCAAATCAAAGCATATGGATTAGATGTAATCATCAAAGATTTAATAGAAGAAAACATTCAGGTCTGCAAAGAAATTCGTTTATAATTGCAGATTTGGCAAGCTTACAGTACATCAGGCAAAGATTTTTAAAAATCAAGAACATTTATACCAAAAACTTGCTCAAGGGTATTCAAGAGGAGATTTCTGGTAGGCAACTAAATATTTAGTTGGTTGCTTAGGAGAATTGCCTAGAATAGAGTTTTATGTTTAGCTTATGAGTGAATTTGAAAACAAGTGGCTGAAATTTCTTCAGCAAGTGTGATGTTACATGTATAGTAAGCCAGATTCAGTTGCAGATATATTTTGGTATGCTTACACAAAGTTAAAAGACAATGAATTTGAACACCTTTGGATATGACACATTCTCCGGCCTGCCATAATCCCACTAATCCCTATTGGCTTACTTTCAGCCTATTTCATGCATCTGCACAAGATAAAATAGTAATAACAAAAATGCCTTTAGATAGTATGGGAGAGACTACAGAAAGGCAACACTTGAGGGAAGATGGGGCAGGGTA